CTGGTTGCAAAAAAAAAAAAATCCTGCCCTCGACAAGACAACATGCAGACCCTCTGCCCTTACTTTAACAGTGCCAGAAAGGCGGCTGGTTCCACGTCAGGAAGCTCGATTTCCGTTGACGTCGTCGCCATTCCGCCGTTGAACATAGCATCAAAAACGGCGCTTCCAACGGCCAGAACAAACCTAACAAGTCAGAGCCAGCTAATCAGATTAAAGCATCACCATTGAAGCTTTGTGCAGTTAAAACTGATCTGACCTGTGTGCGGGTATCCTCTGAACCCCCATTCCTTTGCCCACCAAGAAGTGAACGTCACTGAGCACTTCGTTGTTGAACAGAAACGCGACCCTCTCCTTCACGGTGCTCTTTGTCGCCTGCCAGTTGTACACCGGCTCTCGGTACACTAACACGGACGCGGCAGCCGGAGCGGAGGTGGGCGCCGCCGCCGGGGTCGCGTTCGACGCCGCGACAGCTGCCATGTTAGACGCCGGGGTATCCATGCCTCCGGAGCCTGCCGCACTCGCCGAGGTCGGCGGCTGATGAGAGCCCTGTGCGGTCAGTGAAGCTCCGGAGGTCAGAACGCCGTTGCCGTCTAGACCGCCAGGGCCCAGCTGAGGGTTGGATCGTCGAGTAGCTCCCTGCGCCCCGCCAGCCGAACCCAACACTCCGCCATTAGATGCCGGCATCGAGAAAACGCTATTGCTGGGTTGGCTGTTTCCCAGAGGACCCGCGCCGACGAAGTTGAGACACGGAGGCCTGCCACTATTCTCACCAGCAGCCATCTTACATGTAGCACAGGCGAAAAAAAAAACAAAAAACACGCTTCTTCATGTCGTCAGTTTCTAGTGCTATCGACATCAAAAGTTTGTACAGCGCCCTCTATCGCGCGGCCTGTTTGACTTGTAGACATGAATCCATTGTGAATTGTCATACGCCAATAAGACATGACAACATTAAAAAATATAGCTTATATAAATATTTTTCCATTGGAAAAACAGTAAAAAAAAATCACCATTACTAATAAATTGGTTTATATAATGTCGTTTTTCTAGATATGCAAAGATACCAATAAACTATGTACAGCTAAAATAACAATAATATGGTGGATAAATATTCCATTTTAGAAGCAAATATTGTTTCCTCCACTTTCTGCTCTGTGTCTGATTTATGATCAGGAACGATCCTCGGGGAACTGTTTTAAAAATGGCCAGTTTACTAGTTTCCTCTTGTTTTGGTTCTGTATGTGGAGATGGAATTTGGTCAATGTCCAGTGCAGAAGCCTAGCCGAGCCTCGTGGGATACATTAAACCCTAGAGTATTTGCCTGATCACCTTTGACAGAAAGCTGTGAAGTAGCAGTTTTTCAAAGTAACTAATTTCATGCTTTATTAATTTCAGTGGTTTTAATCAAAGTCAAAGAATTTTCAGGCCACCCATGCATCCTTCAATTTTCCTGTATCCATCCCTCAAATGAAAAAGTTTGCTCTAACCTAACCGGTCGAGTCAGACGGCTGAACCACACCATGACATTTCTTCCCAAGAGGGAGATTTACTTTGCCTTTGTGTGTCCTGTGGAGTTCAGTTCATCTTTTCATAAGTGAGGTTCAATAAGTAGCTAAATAAAATTGAATTGAACTATGTGTTACACTGAATTACAAAAAACATTAAATTTACTTTTTAGGAATAAAACAATCCATTTTGGATGAACACTTAGGCCTACTATACGACTGTATGTTGATTTTTTCCCGAATCACTATGGCGAGTTAAATTTGTTTTGAGGTGAGGGAAAAGTTTGAGAACCACCTGACCGGTCAATTGTTTTTCTGGTTTTATTGCGACATAAGTCCCCAATGAAGGCCAGCCACTGATTCTTGACTTTTGACAATATCTGACCCACATCGTGGTTTGGATAAATTCGCTTTGTGGAAGAAAGCACGATTGCAGTCCCACCACGTTGCCGTCCTCCTTTCACCTCCCCTCTTCCTGCTCCTCATTCTACTGACGTCACAGCGGCGAGGGGAGCTGTCCTGCTGAAACAAGATGGCTGTGCGGGCGGGAGGAGCGGCGAGCTGAGGCAATGCAGGGGAGCTACAAAAGTGGACACAGGGTTTCACCCCTGTGCCGAGCAGAAGACGACAGCCGCGCGTAGCGACCGACGAGCCCGTGTGAGAGAACACCTCGTTTATCTTCCTCAAATTTGGCTTTTAACAGTCAGACGGAGGGAGCGAGACTGCAAATCACGGTTCGCTCAGGCAGCGGCGGCTCACCGTAGGACAGCCGGGATCCCTCACGCCACGCGACGGAGATGTCCCTACTATGTGTGGGAGGTAAGACGGATACGAGCATCTTATTTGGCCTCTGACTTTTTAATTAATTTTTTTTTGGTACTGCACCAAACTGTCTGATGGCTCCCCCGTTGATTGAAAACTCTTGCTTTTATGTCAGCATCTCTTCAAATGGCCACCGAACACGTTCTCTCAAGTGTCACTCGCACCTTTTCCTTAGCCCACGAGAGCAGATTGGTGTGGGGGCAACGTGAGAGGCGAAACCGGTCGTCACCTTGTGTGTTATCAAAGTACCTAAAATTGTAGTTAGCTGGACCAACGTATATTGGACTGTCTTTTCCTGCTTGAGCAAATAACGTAGCTGTTGAGTTTGTCTACTGTGTGTGTGTGTGCGTGTGTGTGTGTGTGTGTGTGTGTGTTGTGCGTGTGTGTGTGCGCGCGCGTCTTCCACTCATCATTTCGCATGTGCAGACCGATGAGCAGGACGTGGAAAAGCCCCTGCCGTTGCCGCGTTGTTGCCATTGCCGCCTCCCTCCTTCTGCCGCTCGGCTGTAGTCGTGAGGGAATACTCGCCGGGTGGAGGGAAGTGCGCGTCACTTCTCAACGTTTCCCCCTCTCCGGCGATGCGTCATCTCCTCCCACCCGAAAAAAAAAAAACACCTGATGCTGATGCTGGAGCCTCCCGTTGTCATGATGAATAAACCCTTGGTACGATTGCCCATTGAAAATAGAAGCTGGGTAAAGCTGAAGTCAAATAACTCCCCTCCCTTTCCATTGATTTTATGAAGTGTTAAGTCAATGCTTTAATGACGTGTCGCACTAGATGAGCCCGTGAGCAAGGCATCGACGCCACAACTGTTTCACTATGCTTTGTGGGCAACCAATGGAATTTTCTTTCTACTGAAGCTTGACTGATATTGGTGGTGGTGCGGTGGGGGGATATTCATTACTTCACTTTCTTTATAAAGAGGTTCTTGGGTTTATTTTTTCAATAAAAGGATGATAGGCAGCACCAGCATGCTCGATATGAAAGTATTTTTAACTGAATTTGACCAAAGAACATTCAACAAAATAGTTCAGGGCAGGGCTCCGCTTGCAAATGTCATATGACCAAACCCAGAAAACAGCTAAGCTGTGATTGGTCGTTACCTGAGCAACTGTGATGTCATTTTCAGTCGACACCAAGTGGCAAAATGGCCGCCCCCAGAGATGGCTAAAAATGCGTGGATTTTGCTGCTTAATTCAGATTCCACAAATGTGCAAGAATGCGTCAGTTTGGAGGGGTGCGGATGTACGATTTGTAAACGTACTTTTCGATATTCAACCTCTGAGGGGTTTTATGGCCTTACGTTCAAGACAGGGGTTGTTTTTCTACTTTGTAAATTTCAGCCATTGAAATTTGACAATTGCATTCAACTACATTGCAATGTCATTTTGAATTCAATGAAATGTTCATCCCTACCGGTGATTAACTGGTAACCATTCCAGTGTGTCATCTGCCTTTCACCCAACGTCATCTCGGATGAACTCCAGCTCCCTGCCCCCCCGAACACGATGAGCTGTCTAGAAAATGAATGAATGAATGGATGGCTCGGTGAATCACCGCAAACGTTTCCTATTCATTGCCGGCCGACCTACAGGTCTCCCTGCTCTAAATGTGAGTAATCACTGTAGTGTGTCAGAGCTCGTGGCCTTAGTCGTATATTTAATGGTGGCCAAATAGGGTGGCAAGGATAGGTAAAGGGGCTTCAAAGTCACCTCTTATGCGTCATCGTTCATGCCAGCCCACCTCATCTCATTCTACCAGGACCGCCCACTGACTGTCCCTGCACTGAGTCAGTCCCGGGTGTCGTTAAAGCCCTCCGAGTGATCCATTCATAAAGGCCGGCCGCGACTGCTGTCAGAGCCGTAGACTACGAGACTTGGCAGAGTGCCTCGCTTTTGTTCCTTTTCCATCATTCATGCTTACCTGACTGGAGCTATTTCTGGCCTCCACAGTACTTGCGCTTCTTCAAGAGGCCGCCTTTCTTCATGCACGGTATCTGTCGACGATGCAGAAAGCAGCCACGCGGACAGATTGTTTGTTTTATAATGTGGTTGCACAAGTGTGCACACCCGCTTACAACCCGGATGTGGTTGTGTTCAGAATTATGCAATCATATTCAAACTCGTGTAAAACGAGAGTCAGCACACACCTGCCACCATTTAAAGTGGCTCATTTTTTTTTTTTTTTTTTTTTTTTTTTTTTTAAAAAGGACGTTTCAGCAGGGGTGTGAAGACTTTTTTCATCCATTGTATTGTCATAGCTTAATCCCCATTTTTCTGAATCACGGCTACCTATCCATAACCTGCTTCCAATAAATTGATCGAAATGGTACAACCCCGCACAGGCAAGCGTTTGAGTTCAAGGCATGTACAATGCACATGTTGGCCGTTGTGCTCGCTGCTTGCATGTGTGACAAAAAAAATGGTGTCATGGAGTCTTGCGGACCTTTCTTGTGACAAACCCACCCTGTCATGGAGATTTATGATCGCCAGCCCTAATTAAGGTTCAGCCTTTCCCAGTCAGAAATCCAATTTCACTTCATATTGATCCTCCTCCCCAATGCGTTGATGCGTCTGTTTTGATATCAAATACAGGAACACTTCCAAAGCCAAACAAACAAAAAAATGGCGTGGGGGGGGGGGGGGGGGGGGCGGTTGCCATTGTGGATTTGGCATGCCAATTTTAGTTTTCATCTAACTCTTCAATTTCTTTATTTCAAATTGTTCCCCAGTCTCATTTCATTTTAAGAGCTGCTACATATTGTGATGTTAACCCTCACCGATACATAAAAATGGATGTCCTCTCACTAGCGTGCACTTGATACAAAAACGGTTTTGCTGACTCAGGACCGATTTTACATAAACTTTTTTTTTTTTTTTTTTTTTGGCTGGTTACTATAGAGACAGGTCGTGATGTGGCAGGCCACTATGAAAGAAGCTGATATTGGTGTGCACAGCACGTATCCCTGGAGGTGATAGAAGTAAACGTTTAGTTCACAACACTCACTTTGGACGGCGTTGATACGCGCGCGTTTGTGTGCGGGATGTGGAAACTCACAGCGAGAGTGACGTGGAGATGGTATAGAACAAGAGCGCACCGGAACGCAGCATTAAAAATATATGCCCCGCCTCTTTGTCAAAGCTGGTAAAACGGCGCTGCAATGTGGACCGTCACTATAAACCGGTGTGTTTAACAAAAAAAAAGAAATGTTTCATCATAATGGCTGGTTTTATCCCTCAGGCTTTTTGCTTTTTGTAACATGACTTCCTTTCCACGCACAACATGTATGGTCTCCTGCCGTGTCACGTTGACAAGGTGTAAACAAGTATGGCTGCCCATGTTTATGCTCGGATGTGTGGACAAGAAAGCAGCGGATTTGCATCGTTGCTGTTTCTCTTCTCTCCAAACAGTTCAGCTAAAGAAACGCTGAGCTGCCTAAAACGTGAAATAAGAGTATTTGGTATTCTGTATGGTACTCCGGTATCTTATATTGTCTTTTTAAATCCCAGAACCGAAGTTGCATGTGTTTTATTATATCTATGTATTTATTTATTTATTTATTTTTGCAAATGAAAGCAGATGGTGTTCTTGTTTGTGACTCTGTCCCCTCTGTGTGGTTCCACAGTGAAGAAAGCCAAGCTGGATGGACCCCAAGGTAAGTCATCAGGTCGATTGCACGCAGAGATTGGCTGCTCCAAAATATGGCGGAATTGTAGGGAGTGTTCGACAAACCACTACAATCTGTTTTATGTCTAAAGGGCATAAAATTACAATAATTCAACAAGGTTTTCTTCTCTTTCTGGCAGAGAAGTTCAACACCTATGTGACTCTGAAAGTCCAAAATGTGAAGAGCACAACCATCGCCGTCAGGGGCAACCTGCCCAGCTGGGAGCAAGACTTCATGTTGTGAGTCCTTCGCTGTCTCCTCTGTCTGTCTTCACTTCACTCCTTCCTGTTTTCTCCTCTCATCCGCTCAATGTCACTCGGCTCCCGTTGCTTGAACACATCAGTGAATTGGACAACGCAGCTTCTTCATCTTCATCATCTCCGCCCCACATCCTCTGCTTGTGCTTTCCGTGCACGATTGGCATCCTTTGAACCCTTTCGTCCACCCTGTAACCCCGATAACATGGGAAGCTGTCCGCTGTTGGAGCCGGCTGTCCCTGAAAGGGTTAAATTCGTTTGTTAGAGCCTGTACCTCAATAACCATCCGAATAATTGAAATCACTCAAACGTTACGCAACGTGCGGTTTAGCGTCGTATTAACATTACGGCATCGGGGGTGATGGATGGTGAGAACCATTTAATATGTGGGCTGCAGCAAACTGGCTGACCACACGGTCCTGTGCATTAGCATTACTAGAATGCTTGGAGGCGTTCAACGTTGTTCTGGGGTTTGACATCGCCGAAGCTCTCTTATGTAATGATTGGGTAGCAGAGAGAGCGAGACGCTCGCCTGTCCTTCAAAGTGCCTTAAAGTGACCTATGTCTTAATTAAAGTCCCACCGATCTCCCGCCAAGCATGTGATCGCATCGCCTTCCCCACCGACGACATCAAGCTCCTTCCTGCCTTCCTTCATCACCCTCTTCCTCATTTCTGATGGCGGACATGAATGCTTTATGCCACGTTAGCCACACTTCTATTTTTGTTCCAGTAGAGGCAACATGTCAACCCCGCCCACTTTCTCTGTTTCTCATTTCAGTGAAATCAACCGCTTGGACCTGGGTCTAACTGTCGAGGTGTGGAACAAAGGCTTAATCTGGGACACGATGGTTGGCACAGTGTGGATTCCCCTCCACAGCATCAGACAGTCAAATGAGGTTGGCCACCAGTGACCCTCAACTCAAACTAAATATTCTTGATGATCAGTGTTGACATGCTTGCGGATGATTTGTGTAGGCCATTTTTTTTTAATGCTCATCCGCCTATCCAGCTCTTTCGTTGTGCACACAGGAAGGCCCGGGTGAGTGGCTCACATTGGACTCTCAGGTCATCATGACTGATAATGAGATCTGCGGCACCAAAGATCCCACGCTTCACCTGATGCTGCTCGACACGCGTTTTGAGCTGCCCCTTGGTGAGTGTATGAGTTCTGCCTTTTCGCACACACGGCGAGTGACCAATCGGAACCTCTGGTGGATGGGGAAATGTGGGGGAAGATAGACGCGGAGCCAAAAGATCTTTGCTGAATACATAACTGTGCCCTCGTACAAAACGATTCTGTCAATCAACAGGCATTGTGATGCCTCCACCGATTAATCAACATGACCTACTTTTTAATGTCGCTTATGTGTGTGTGTGTGTGTGTCCTCTCCCTCTCATCGATCACACTGTGTTCCTTTTCACATTGATTCGGTGTTACTTTCCTGCTGTTTTCGCTTCCTCCAGGTGCTATTGAACATCCGAGTCCTTCGTCTGCGGAACTGCCCTATTTATAGGTCCTAAGGCTTCGAGTGAAATTCCATCGTTGCTTTTATTCGGCTCAAACGAATGGCTTGTTTTTAGCTTGCGCACATGAGCGAGGGGGTGGAAAAAAAAAAAAAACATCAACCAGAGCTACTATTTTTAAATGAGATTAGGTCGATGAGATTTCTCTCACCTGAGTTTGATTTTTGCCTTTCAGACATCCCAGAGGATGAGGCGAGGTACTGGGCCAAAAAACTGGAACAACTTAATGCAATGCGGGAACAAGATGTAAGCATTCACTGTGTCGACCATTCCAACATTTCCCACAGGTTCTCGCGTTTGGAGAGCAAGGCTGCAATGATTCATCGCTATACTATAACTGCGTTATCTATCATTTGTCTCAGTACTCATACCAAGAAGAACAGGAGCGCCCACTCCGGGTTCCGAGCACCCAGTGCTGTAAGTTTTATTCATTGTTTGCGTCATTAATCATTCCTAAAGCAGAGAATTGAAGCGTTTAGTCGCGGACATGTGATTAGATTGCGTTAGTGGGCATGATGTGCAACCACACATGGCGGTGGAGCGCAAACAGTCAACGTTGCCACAGTGGAAGAGATCAATAGTGGGATCGGGTGTCTGGAGGGGAAGCTCCACCATCGTCTCAGTCCGCCGAATCCGCCGAGCCAACAGTCGGCGGCCAGGGAGAAAGACTTCCGGCGTTGGCGCTAAATTCGTTGCCAGAGGAAGCTGGAATGCTCGTCTTTGCATCACCTTGTAATTCATAATTGCGTCTTACACCATTCTCTTTCATTTCAGGTAATTGGAGTTTATGGGGAGATCAACCAAGTGAGTCTGCACGCGGCGTCTGACACTTTGCGCACGTCGTACTCCCGACGTTGCTTGAAATTCCAAGTTTCTACAATCATGAATTCGAATGAGACTTGACGTGTCTATAAATGTTTTAAAAGACTGTAAAGAGACAAAAAGACACGCTGGCTCTTTCTTCATTCCTTCGTGCTTTTCACTAAGCCCTCTTTCAAATTTAACATCCCGGAAAGGAAAATGTCAAAGGACTCAAATAGAGACAACACAGAGAAAAAAAAAAAAAACGTATGCACACTTGCAACTTGCAAGATCAGTTTTTCCAACAGAACACTGAACTATGAATCCATTTTTTTTTTTTTTAACCGTTCATGACTGAATTGTCTTTTCCGTTCCTTGTACCACCTGTCCAGCTCCATATTTATCATCATGCCCATCGTTTGCGTCTTTTGTCTGTGTAGATGATGACCCCGACAGCGCTGTGGATGACAGGGACAGCGACTACCGCAGCGAAACCAGTAACAGCGTCCCACCCCCGTACTACAGCACATCGCAGCCCAACGCGTCTGTCCACCAGTATCCCATCAGCCACCAGCACCGTGACTCCAGAGGCGTCTCGTACCCGCACTTGACCAACAGCCACGACCTTGACTACCATCATCAGCGGACTGTTAGGTGGGTGTCGGAATTATATCGCCCAAAAATGAGTCTCGAAGGCTTCACAAGGCCACAGTTCACACAAAAAAAATTGCCCGATATGGCGGTACACGTAAGAGTGATTGACACAACAAATCCGAATTTCACTTCTCCAACGGAAAATAGTCAATGAATTTCCGCCAAGCAGACTCGATGCGAGTTGTCTTTCGGTGTTGTTTACCCCCACTGTTACATTTCTCACCGCTTATTGACGTAACCTGCGCCGGCTGCGAGTGAAACTCCGCAGCCCTCCACCTCGCTCGATGAATAATTCAAAATGCAATCTAGTGGTCAATACCGCCCCAAAAGATTAGCTGCTTGTGTGAGTGTATTGGACAGGGCAACCCTGGGACATTCTTCTTCATTCCTCCTCTGCTTCTTGGCATCAGTGTGCACTCCTCCCTTTCTGTCTTCACTCTCTTATCTCTCTTTCTCACCCCACCTAAACTCCCTCGTTCACTTCTTCTTAGCCCCAACTTGGCCTTGACATTCATTCCGGTGAAAATACGCTTCCTGTATTTCGTTGCGTTTCCGTATGCTACGTGTTCTTTTTGTTTTGTTATCTCTCCGAAGCCCTTTCAGTTCGCTGTTCCGGTCTATTTCCCTTGCCTACGGTATACACCCAAGTGCATTCTTCCCTCTCTACTTTTTTTTTTTCTTCCAGTCCCGCTGGAAGCTATGCATCATCTGCAGAGTTGAGTCGGTGCAGCAGTCAGCTGAGTGAAGAGGACTACGGCGGGGAATATGGAGAGAGGGATCCGTACGATGAGAACGACTCCTACCACTCGTGCCACTCGTCGGTGAGCTACAGTAAAGGTTCCCCAGACTGGGACCCCGATGAGACTCAAGGTGCATACAGTGATGAGGGTGGCTACAGCAAAGACGGGGGTGAGGAGGCAGCTCTGTACGAGGAAGAAGATGGAGGATTATATGAGGTGGAGGAGGAAGGCCTTTACGAGGACGAAGACTTGATGTACGATGATGACGATTTATACAATTTGGATGGAAACCTCAGCGAGGATTTGGAACCTCCATTCACACCCACCCCAACATCCAGCGCTCCGCCGGCTCTTGACGTCCCGAGCTCGAGACCTCCACTGGAGAAACAACCTTCAGTCCATGAAAAACAGCCCCCCGCGCAACCTGCGAATCAAGTGTCCGGCCAGGGTCCTCCTGCTGGTGTCGCTCCGACAGCACAACCCCTTCCTGGTCATCAAACTTCCCCAGCGCCTAAACAGCCGCCGCCCCCGCAAACGCAGGCACAGACGGCTCCGTCCGCCACCTCCTTCTTCTCAATGGCCAAACCCCTGACAGCCGCAGTCACGGGCTTAGCCTCCACTTTCCTGTCTTCTGTCCCCAACGCCCAACCCGCCCAGTCTCACCCCCCGCCACCGGCTGAACAACATCAGTCCACGGCAGCAAACAATCTTCCGCCTTCACACCCTGCCACCTTAGCTGCAACTCAGCCCCCCTCCACCGCCATGGGTCCTTCTTCCCAGCAGATTGCAAATTCGACACAGCCCGCGTCTTCACTTAACGGTTCTGCCGCTGTACAATCACCCGCCCCCGAGGATGAGGGTTCGCAAATGAAAGAAGAGCCTTGGTTGGAGGAGGAAAATCTACTGGAGGAGGCCGTGGCGTCCCCTAACCCTCCAGAGGAGAATCTCGGCATTGAGCGGAAGGAGCACATCGAAACAAGCGGGCCACCAACCCCTGAGGAAAAAGAGATGACGCCTGAGAGGTTGGAGACACGAAGCTTCGCATGAACAGGATATCCCAAAAGTCACCTTTTTTCATTTCAATTTTAATTTTCATTCCGGGCTTTGCAAGGAGGTTTTTTTGTTCTCGTGTGCAACAAGCTTTATGGCCGTCACGCTGCTCCAACGTGGAGCTTAATTCACACCCACCCGTGGCAAGTTTCAGGCTCTCTTCTTGACAGACCACATAGCGGAAGGCCTGCTATTAATGAACACACCAAACTCCTACCGCAGGTGCTTGGGCGACTGCTAAGGCTTTACCCGTCCCAAATTTAGGTTGTTGAACATCAATATTTCGCTTGAAGCGACAAACTTGCCATCGGTAGCGTGAACTACTCGTGTCAAGCAGTGCGATGGCCATCACGCGTCTAAAACTGGAGCTGAACTGCAGTTGGGGACAGAAAAAAATTCTTGTCAGGCAGCATTTTTTTTTTTTTGGTTCCAATGCGAACCGGTCAGCCATGAGCAAGACCATGATTTGCTTTCAAAAAGTGCAAAGCCTAAAGCTGCCATATGCTGATTGCCTCTCATCTATCTGAATGATACTTGAAACAAAATAGTGTACTTTGTCGGTCGAAAAAGAAATCGTGACTTTTCGGACACCCTGTTCATCTCAGTTATCGCAAGGTCAACGTATTCATATGAAAAATGTCTATGTCAGTCCTCCAGTCATAGAGGAGCCCAAAGAGCCAGTGGATCCAGCGGTCCGAGCCAAAGAGAACTGGCTTCGACTCTACAACAAGGTTTTGGACCAGCTTCGGGAGGTAAGTGCACAACTCTTGCAGGGCTTGCTCGGCCCAGGACCATGTGCGCACGTCCGATTTATCTCCATCTCTTCGATTAAAAAAATATTACGTTCTCAAGACTCTAAAGCTGTCGACGTAGTCTTTGAAATATGGATGTGAAGTACATTATTTATTTATATGCAAAAAAAAATAAAATAAAAACAGTACATAAGGTTCTGCGGTTCTATTTTGAAAGTGTTTGCGAGCTAGAGGTCGGAAAGCATGTATAATGTGTTTCGCATACACTATAAATAAAATATTTTAGTTTTCTTAAAATACGAAATTGGTGACGTGGCAGACAATAAACTTTTCGTTCAGGATGGAGCACCAGGATGCTCCTTGGCTGCCTGATGTAGCTGCTATGTATTGCTGCGAAATATTTGGTTTGCTTTATCAGTTTGCACCTGCATTGTTCACGTTTTTTTTTTTTTTGTTTTTTTTTTTTTTGTTTTTTTTTTTTTTGTTTTTTTTTTTTTTGGTTGTTTTGCTATTCATTGTTTTTGAATTGAGTTGTGCACCGTATTAATCACTTGCTTCAATGTTTCTGTTGATGTACGTACGTCGCTGTTTTTCCCCCACACTTGGCCTCCCTTTCTCTGTCTTTCCTTTGTTTTTGTTTATGTGTCGGCCCACTTTTTGTTTTTGTTCCAGTTTCATGTCATTGCCATCGCAACAACACTCGCGTGCACTTTTCTTGGCCATCATTGGAGCATGCAGAAAGGTAGGTTCCAAGCTGATGGTGGCTTGAAAATAATTTCGGCGATTCTGTATCGGTCTCATCGTCACAATCAAAAGTCAGTTCTTTGGAAGGTCTGCATATGTTCCGTCATGTCTTTGGAGAGCTCTTAGAGTTAGTCAAGCGTTCGCTCACTGAACCTTTTCAATTTTTTTTTCAAGTAAAAAGCATGAAGTGTGCCCTTCATCAATGGAATTTTTAAGCTTTTATAAATGCAGGTCCGTTGCTATATTGTTGTGCATGTAAAACTAAGAAGATTAGCTAGTGCGACATTGAATTGTATTCCCCCCCCCCCCCCCCCGACTCAAAATCTCTTTCATAAAATGTTTTCTTTGTCAGGTGCGAGGAGAAACCTCCAGCTCGTTATGGTTTGGTAAAGGAGGGTAAGTGTCTAACTCAGCATTCCGCACATGAGAGTGAACGCAAATGTGTGTATTGGTGTGAATGACACTTTTAAGATCAAGATGCATTCAGGTATACAATATGCACACCATCAAGGAAATACTACTACTGTACCAGCAGCTTAAAAAAAAAAGCAAAACACTTTTCTTCCACCTTTTTGCTTCAGGCTGATTCCGGTTTGGGCTTTTAGCAAAAATATCCGATGAGTCCAAGTGAGCTTACTTAGCTAGCATTTCAGTAGAAAACAAGAATACAGTAGGTACGTTGTCGGTTCTATTAATCCAGTAGATGTTTGGTAAATCACTGCTACATTGGCTACACTGTTGGTGAATACTTCTGATACAATCTACTTGGTATTCTTGAGCAGAAAAAAAGTATACTGGGCTGAATTGAACCAAATGGAAGAGTGGAGCGAGAATCCATTAAATCTGGGGGAAGATTAGTTTTAATATACGGTGTATTTGTTTGTTTGTTTGTTTGTTTGTTTGTTTATTTGTTTGTTTGTTTGTTTGTTTGTTTGTTTGTTTGTTTGTTTGTTTATTTATTGAACATATATAAAACATACAATAACATGACAAAGTGCAAACAAAAATTATGAAAGGAAAATAAAAGTAAAAGTAAGTAATACAAACATCATCACAGTTATATGTTCAAAGGAGTAGGAAGAAGTATAAAACTTATCTAGTCCTACCCCTTTTTGAGCAATAATGTATATTGATCATTTCCAAAGAAAAGGAAGAAATCTAAATTTCATCAAATACTTTTACCCTTTTGTGTACTATGCTTACCTATTGATACACCTTTCAGTTTGTATATATGTATCATTATTCTTTCTACTTTTTATATCAAATAACTCATATCAAGGACCTTCGGGTTGTCTCCACTGTTGCATCGCACTTCTTGTGGAAAATGTGATGATGGGTCTTCCCTTTTGTATGCAGAATGGGAGGTGCACTCTATAGTATTGACAGCATGCCGGACCTTCGGAAGAGAAAAGCCATTCCTCTTGTCAGGGATCTGGTACGATAAGTCTCTCTCGCACACACGCACACACACACACACACACACACACACACACACACACACACACACACACACACGTTAATTGAAGCAATATTGGATTCTCAATCGGAGGTCAGTCCAGGACAACTAAAATCGGATGAGTTCTTTGTGTTTTCTATTTGGGCTGCATATACCGGTTTGTGAGCACACATGCATCTTAATCAATTAAAAGTCTAGCAGTTCTTGTCATAGGGAACAATTATAAGGCCGAAGGAATGTCCACATTAACATTTTGAAACACGGATACTGCCAAAAATGACTTTTCTCTCAATGTTTTATTTTTTTCATATCACCATCACTTTATTACATCAGGCGATGGTAAGTACGTTTCTATCCAATATATATTTTTAAATTGCACACACTGGTCCGCCTGAATTAATCCCGCCGCCTTTTAATATATTTTCAGTCGCTGGTGCAGAACTCGCGTAAGGCGGGAATCACGTCTGCAATGGCCTCAACAACGCTCGGCAACGAAGAGTTGGTGGGTTTTTCTCCACACGCTCGTTTGTTTCCTGCTTCGGTGACCTCTGTGCCCTTCTTCAAATTCTTCTCCATGTCTTTTGCAGAAAAGTCACGTTTATAAGAAAACGCTGCAGGCTCTCATCTACCCCATCTCCTCCACGACGCCGCACAATTTTGAAGTGTGGACAGCCACCACCCCCACCTACTGCTACGAATGTGAAGGCTTGCTGTGGGGCATCGCCAGACAAGGCATGCGCTGCTCTGAGTGTGGCGTCAAATGTCACGACAAGTGCCAAGATCTGCTGAATGCCGACTGTCTGCAGAGTAAGTTGTTGGCTCGTCGCTCATATGCACATTCACAAAACCGCATTCACGCATTCGTTACATCTACAACTAGTTTAGCTCATAAGTAACGTTGCAAATGTTTTTTTTTTTTTTTTTAATCCTCTATTTTGCTCCCATTCGCTTCCTCCACCTGTCTGTGAAGGGGCTGCTGAGAAAAGTTCCAAGCACGGAGCAGAAGACCGAACCCAGAATATCATCATGGTCCTAAAGGACCGCATGAAGATCAGAGAGCGGAACAAACCGGAGATCTTTGAGCAAATCCAGGAAGTCTTTGGCCTTGACAAATCAACACACGCTACCCAGATGAAACAGATCAAGCAGAGCGTGCTTGACGGTACATCCAAATGGTCAGCAAAGATCAGCATCACTGGTGAGAGAGAGAGAGCACGTTTATATTGGTCTCCAGTTCGATAGAGCTCACCTGACTGTGTAAAAATGCCTGTTGTCTGCGCTACCCTTTCCCATAGTGGTATGTGCACAGGGACTCCAGGCTAAAGACAAAACTGGTTCCAGTGATCCATATGTGACCGTCCAGGTGGGAAAGACCAAAAAAAGAACCAAGACTATTTATGGCAACCTAAACCCAGTGTGGGAAGAGAACTTCCACTTGTGAGTAACGCTATTTTGAATGTTGCCATATTCGCGTCTCTGTATTTGTTTGCTAACAATAACCGTGACTCACTCAGCGAGTGCCACAACTCTTCGGATCGCATCAAGGTTCGAGTGTGGGATGAGGATGATGACATCAAGTCTCGCGTGAAACAGAGGTTCAAACGTGAGAGCGATGATTTCCTCGGTCAAACCATCATTGAAGTCCGCACGCTGAGTGGGGAGATGGATGTTTGGTATAACCTTGGTGAGTTCCCGTGTTCAACCAAAAGGTAGTGAGAGAGGACAGTAATGTTTGTTAAACACGTTGCAGATAAGAAAACATGAACCGGACTGTCACATTTTGTCAGTTGGAGATGGAACAGCCAACTAACAAAACATGTGCTGTATATCTTACTCGCATCTGACAGACAAGAGGACCGATAAATCTGCTGTGTCGGGAGCCATCCGCATGCACATCAGCGTGGAGATTAAAGGAGAGGAGACAGTGGCGCCTTATCACGTCCAGTACACCTGTCTTCATGAGGTCAGGCTCATCGTGTGGGAGGGAGGAAATGTTACATTTGCATTTTAATATCATCAAATATATGACAAAACAAACACAAAAAACATAAATAATACAATCTAAATGTCCCCATTGGATGATCGATCTATCTATCTATCTATCTATCTATCTATCTATCTATCTATCTATCTCTCTATCCATCCATCTAACCATCTATCCATCCAGCTATCTAGCCAGCTAGCTAGTTAGCGAGCTATCTAGCTAGAGATTGCTCTGAGTCAAGTTTTTTTTTTTCTAATACCCCGTAAGTTGGTTAAATATGGTTCACAATAATCACTACAGTCACAGTAAATCTATTTAGTCATTCACTTGAACTTTCTTTCAAGATTGCTGTAAATCAGCTGGTGGGATACTAAGATGCTAATTTGTTTTTAGGGAAGTTCAAGGGCAGAAATATACTGTATCTCTATTTAAATTACAATATTAACTGCATCCAGTTTTGTATTTTAAGTTCAGTACTTTATTGCACTGATAATAGAAATAGAGTAATCCTGAAGGGACGTTTGGTAGTCCCTTCCAAAATGTATCCGAGCTATAAGAAACCCCTTGTATTTTGTCTCTGTTTAGCATCTCTTCCAGTACACCACAGAGGACCAGAATGGCGGCGTAGTAAAGATTCCCGATGCCAAAGGAGACGATGCCTGGAAGGTGTATTTTGAGGAGACTGCTCAGGAGATAGTGGATGAGTTTGCCATGCGTTATGGTGTGGAGTCCATCTACCAGGCTATGACGTCAGTGCTGATCAACTAATTTTTTTTTTTTTGTCTTCCAGTACACCACAGAGGACCAGAATGGCGGCGTAGTAAAGATTCCCGATGCCAAAGGAGACGATGCCTGGAAGGTGTATTTTGAGGAGACTGCTCAGGAGATAGTGGATGAGTTTGCCATGCGTTATGGTGTGGAGTCCATCTACCAGGCTATGACGTCAGTGCTGATCAACTAATTTTTTTTTTTTTGCCGCAGAAACATGCACAATTTATTTGCTAAATGTTCTTTCCCCCCCCCCCCCCCCCTTCCATTCAACAGCCAA